AAGTGAAAGGGAACAATAGAGAAAAATCAAGAAATGGAGGAGATAGACTTCAGGAAAAAGCAAAAAGATGGAGCCCTTTATATGAAACATGTAAAGTTATGGAGGACCAAAACCGACATAATAAGAAATAAAATCATACATTTTAATAAGAAATAAAAGCATAATTATATATTTAATTTTTCATTTTCCTTACACATGAGTTTCCGTCAAGTAATATATTTTCTTTTTTTATTTCTCCTAAACATGCGTTTTTGTCTAGAAAAATAGATATTTTGCTTTTTCTTTTTTTGCTTCTCCCTTTTTGCTCGCTGTATTTCTGCATATTTTTATAAATAAAAAAATATGTTTTTGTGTGTGTGTGTGGGGGGGTGTTGGTATTAAATATAATCCCACGAATTATAATCATCAGCATGGTTGTGCATTTTCTCTTTACACCTATCTAGAATTTTTGTAAAACCCTCTGAAATATATTTTACAAAGTCTAGTCAAAATGGAAAACATTGCTTTTGGCACCATCTTGCGGTAAAAATGGAGAACTACGTTTAGGCGGCGATAGCGTCATTACGTAAATATTCTGTTGACGTGGCCTGAACAGTGGAAACAGCACCGTACGTAAGAAACCAACTGGTGTTAAGGAGAGACCGAAAATAATCCTGCGGAATTATGGGAATTACCGTGGACCATTAACTATACTGGTTTCTCTTTTAACAGGTAAAGACAATTGTTGATGAATATCTGTAAACCTAATTCCAAATGCTGTTAAATAGCTACAAAGCTTACTAACATCAACTAAATATTCCTATGTGGACGCGGGGTAGTACTAGCCTAGCTTAGCTTCAACTAACCGATCTCACTTCTCTTTCAAGCCAAAGAGAAAACAATTAATGTACACTGCGTTGTTTTAAAAAAATAACCCAGCAGGTAACTCAAATCTTTAGTTTTAACATTATGTTTCGCGTTTTTGTTTCATATCAATGTCTCCTGCTCAGTTAATTGACTCAAACTCAGTTTATTGGGATAAAATCGTTGAACACGAAGTTAACGTCAACTCTCTCATGTGGCGTTTACACAATAGCTGCGCTTATCACATCCATAAATGGCCGGTGAATTCAATGAATTGTTTTGTGTAAACACATTTGAATTGTTTTTTTGTTTTTTTTTCTCTAGCTTTGTGTGGGCTAACATGCTCCTCTTTTACTTGGCCTTGTAGTTTTTTTTTTTTTTTTTTTTTTACTTGAAGTGATTGTGCATATCAGATTGTGATATCAGGCGCAGTACGTCCAAAAGGACAGGCTCCTGATCTGATAAGATGTCAACCAACCGCCTTGACTGATCAAAGTGTGCGGACTTAAATAGGCAAAGTGTTCTGGTATATCTACTCATCTATTATCTTCGTTGGGCTGTCACAATCAAAAGAATATGGTGAGCGTCTTTACCATCCTCTAATTTTCTATTTTTAGAGAGGAGACTTACCAGTTTGGTCTTGAATTGTTATAAAACTTATACAAACGGGCTTTTAGTGTTGTGATATATCAGTAAACTGAAATCCATTTAAGAATATAAACTCATAAACGTAAAAGTAACTTTATTTAGTGCAGTGTTTACATTTAAGATTGCATTTGCAGCTGTTGCCAGGATCATAAGTTTGTGGTCTGCTCCCAATTTCTGGTTTTTGGAAACTTTTACCTGGGAACAGATAGCTTCCCCCCCCCCCCTACATTCCCTGCCATAAGCAGCCATGATTATTTATTTTATGAGGGATGGAATCACATTACAGACCAGCATGACTATTTCAACTTAAAGAAGTTAAGAGACACGATAGCTCTTACCTGTCTGATACCAGACTATCTTATCCGTTTCCTGTGCTCTTTGTGCCCACCCTTTTTGGACATAATCTAGTTAGGACCGGGTTTTTAATGATCCCTAGACAACACTTCAACACTTCGATAACAACAGACTTTTGTTTCCATAAATGCACAAATTAATAAATCTGGGAGTCAGATTTATTCAATATTATGAGCTTACATCAGGTTTTTCCATCGTTATGGGTTCTTTTGATTAAAGGACGTTAGGATATTTCTCCGTTATGCTATATAGGTCCTAACTTTCATGCATTGTTAAAAATGTTTTGTAATATCTGTTGAATTGTTTTTGCACAAATGTGCTTGTGCATGCTGTGTGAACAAATAACTTTTTTGTGATTTTAAGATTCTTTTAATCCATCACCTTAACTAAAGCAGCGTTAGTGAATCGTCCGGGTATGTATTAACTAAATACATGTAGAAGTAAGGCGTCTGCCCTCTTTTTCTCAGAGTGAGGAAAATGTCCAGTAGAAGTCAACACTATGGGTTCCAGTCAGCCACCATGGTGCAGCCGGCCAATGGCGGCCATGCCTACCTGTTTGGGACCAACAGCTCAGAAAACGACCTGTCAGAGGAGGATGGAGAAAGCTTTGAGCTCCGATCACGGGGTAAGGACAGGCTGCGGAAGAGCACGTCCAAGGAGCGACTGGATGACATCATCTACCTTAGCAGAGACGTCCAGGAGGGCGACACCCTGAACAGCATTGCCCTGCAGTACCACTGCTCAGTATGTCCTGTTTTTTTTTTTTTTTGTTGTTTTTTTTAACCATTTTCAAGCACACAGAACTGTCCTCTCCCTCTCGATTTGTAGCAAAATGTGACATTTACTGGATGAGCTCAGACTTAAGGATATCTAATTCGCAGAATGTTTTTGAAAGAAATATGGGATTATAGTCTCTCTCTAATCTCAGAGTGAACATTACACATTATGTGGTGAAGCTTACTTTTATTTTGGTTTTGAAGAGATGAAGAAGTGTGACGCTCTGGCTTTACACCAGCTGCGTTAGCTTTGCTTTGCATGGCTAAATTTGCATAACTGCAGCTACATGTTTGTATTCAACATCACTCACCTTGTTCCAGTTTAATCGACAGTCTCAAGTAGAAAATTTTTTTTGTGTAATTCATGGCTGATTTCACCAAAATGAAACTAGTCACTCACTTAACTGCAAGAAAATTCCACTGTTAAGTCTCTAATAGTACATTTAAAAAGTACTGAAAGGGGTGTTTTTACTGAGCTCAGTGTTTTCGGCAAATATTAAGCTAATTTTTTTTTTTCCATTATTCCAAGATAGAAACTGCACTATAAACCACACAGAGAGCCTTGAGTTTCTCGTGCAGCCCCTTATGTATTGTCTTGCGAGCCAAAATGAAAATGATGATGTTCTAGAAATGCGGCGCTGCTTGTGTAAAAGCCTGCCTCAGACATTGCAATTATGTCCTGGAAGCTTGCAGCCATCCGAGTACAGAAGTATTGGATAATTTTGCAGCATAAGCAAAGCAGCTGTGTGGGCAAGAGCCTGACCAGCATGATGGGGTGGGGGGGCGTAAGGAAAAAGAACCTTGTTTAAATTTTTGCCCTTCGATTTCAATAGATTTAGTCTGTTCTCAAAAAGGAATTATGCTGACATAAGCAGGAAGCTGCTACCAAAGTGTTGGGTAAAGTTTTTTGCATCAAATATATAAAATGTTTTCTCCTGTATATGACCGTTTACATATTTTAAAAAACATTAATGACTCAATGTGCAGTATAAGACGCCATTGTTGTTTTGTAGGTGGCGGACATTAAACGAGCCAACAACCTCCTGACAGAGCAGGACTTCTTCGCTCTACGTTCTATAAAAATTCCTGTGAGGCGATTCAGTGTGCTCACAGAGACTCACAACGCCGGTCCTCCCAAACCCGTCTCGCCCACCGGGGTCAGGCGGGTCGCCCAGGTTTCACCCGTCGCGCCTCTCCCCACAGAGTCCTCCACGGACTCCTGTTCATCCACAGACAGCGTCGAAGGATTCCTCCTGGAGAAGGACAAGGACATTGAGCAGCTGGTGAAATCCACGGGCCCGTCCCGGAGCAGCCTCAGCGAGGTCGTGTCGTCTTTGACCCTGCAGCAGCCGCTGCTGGGGGAGGCGGAGTACAAACCGGCACAGAGAAAGGACCCGTACTACGGCGCGGACTGGGGCATGAGATGGTGGATGGCCGTGGCCATCATGCTGTTTGTCGGCATCATCACACCCGTGTTTTATCTGCTCTACTATGAGGTTCTAGTGAAAGCCGAGGTTAGCCATCACGGCGCGCCTGGCCAGACCATTGGCGACGGGCAACAGGAACTGGTGACAAGTAAAACTTTGGACGTTCTCAGCAAAGATGGAGACCCTGCGGAGGGACATAAACAGGCCGCCCAAGTAAACCCAGAGGGAGGCGGTGCAGACGAGGCCCCTGCTGTTATAAAGTCATTGTCTGGGGAAACATAGCAGAACTTTGATTCCCACACGTCATAAACTAAGTGAATTAATATTTTTCCCCATTTTCAAAAGGTCTTATATTGATTAAAATAGTTTAGTAAGATTTGCTGGGATGAACTGAAAACAGTAAAGGCTGGTAAACGGGTAGTGTTGCAATATTTTTTGTTTCAGTCTATTCGATTAGATGCTTTTGAAACTAGGAGCATTGAAGGGCTGAAACTAACCTCACATCGGAGTGGTAGGTCAGCTGTTGTACCCAGTATGAATTACATGTTTTTCTTTGTAATTTATACTGGTGCATTTAAGCCAGCTGTAAAGGAATATATATTTTAAATAAATTAGATGCATTGTTTTCCTTATATTTATTCCGTGATAAATCAGTGGCTGTATCTTCAAACGTTGATGTATTGCAACATTTATTATAATTTTTTTTTTTTTTTTTTTTCCCCAAAACAAAGTTGGAACTAAATCACTTACTGTTTTGCAGAGGTAGACTGCTTCCACTGTGATCATGATTAACTTATTGTGAAAGCAGCTTTAGTTTTACTATCAGTATTGACATTCCAGTTGAAACCTTGATTCTGTTTTTTTGCTAGCTATCGAGAACCATCCCATAGTTCCCATTGCAAACTGGAGCTTGTCGGGAACATGTTTTGACTTGTAACCATGTGAAATTTTAGACCTTAGCTTTATAGCCCTTTTATTTCATCACAGTTTTTTTTTGATTTTTTTTTTTTTTTTTTTTTTTTTGACAAAGCATAATTGAAAAAAAAATGACAGTATGTGCCTTCAATCTGTGGTCCAGCTTGGAAAATAAATAAATATATTTTCAATACATTATTTCCTTCTGAAAAATTTCACACACTCTTATTTACAATGTTGTTCAGAGAAAATCTGTAGCACAAAATAAAGTACCGCTCTGTGAAAAGTGTTAACTTAAACGTCTGCGTGGGAGCCCCGTCGCCTCAGTATGTCGCTTCTCCGTCCATGTTGTCGTCGCTGTCGGCAGCAAAATCTTCGCCGTTGTCGAAATAGCTTTCAATGTAGTCGTTGTCCTACACGGAAGCAAACGCAACGGTAAACTTGGTCGTTACATGAAGTAAAATGTTTTTCAAATTGGCTCTTCGTTTACCTCTTCGAGGTCTTCTTCCTCGTATTCTTCCTCCTCTATTTCTTCCTCTTCCTCGTTTTTCGTTTTCTTCTCTGGCTCGTCGTCTGACTTTTCAGCATTCCCGTCGTCTTTCTTTTCCAGTTCCTGTCATGTCAACACACCTGACTGAGACTCAAGAATATCTTTCTTTTTTTTTCAAAGGTAATCTTTTTCACGTTCCTTTACATCGTAGCTGCAAACTTCAATGCCTCACCAGGATTTTCTGTGTTAAATCGACACAATGTGGTGCATAATGTAGAAGCTTATATGCGGGTTTTAAAACTGTTTAATAACTTTAAAGTGTGACATACGAATTTGCTATGATGCCTTTAATCTATATTATAAAAACAGTGAAACATATAAACGGTGAAACTTTCCATTTTTTAGCTTTTTTTGTGAACATTGCACAAATTCAGAGCCCACAAAAAAAGGTAGACATAAGGAAAAGAAAAGAAACTCACATCTAATTTGCTCAAAACATCCGCTGCCTCTTTGCTTGAACCTTTTCCACTCTTCTTATTCTTAGTGACTGAAATAGTGAAATGTATAAAAAGACGTCCACGTTATAGTCGCAAAGTCAAATCTGTTACACGCACGACGGCTTTAACGTACCTTTTCTACGAGGTTTTTTTGTTCGAGGCATCAGTTCTTTTGGAAAAAGGTTCCAGTCTAAGACACCAAGAAAGATAAATGCATTTGTTTTTGTTTTTTTTATTTTATTTTTCATTTCTGGTCATTTTTGGGCATTGTGGTGTTATATACTAACCTGGAGTCCATGTCTCATCATCCATCTGTCTGTGCTTCAGGTATCTCTCCGTGTATTTCTCCACGTCTGTTTTACAAACACAAGAGCAACCTCAATTTGTCTTGAGATAACTGCAAAGTCATACCACAGATCTGAAGTGTTTAACACAATGATCGATCCCAGGCCATTAGGCCTGTAATTTAAAAAGCCGGCAGCATTTCTTACTGTTGCATTTTCAGTTCCTGTTCGCAACGCTTTCACTTGTGGAAAAAGTGAGGCCCTGTGGCTTCATAAGCTCAATTCACCTGATAACACTTAGAAATAAAACACTGAACTACTTGCTCAAAACAGTAACTGTGAAATGCTTGTAACGATAAACCAAAGAAATCTGATTAAAACTGCAAGCTGAGATGGCAGCCATAACTCAATGCTGCCAGAATTATGCTCTTTCCCTTTTCCTTGATGTGACCCATATTAAATGTCTTGGGCCATAAAAGCTGCATTAGCTTCCCTTCCAGCAGTCCAAATTGTTTTCCTACAGAAAGTCTCAGAGACGTCAGGTCACTAATGGACCACTCTGCTCCTCACCTGCTCTGCCGGACTGCGCTTTGATATTATGAGGCAGCCGCTGCATCGCGCCTCTCATTTCCTGCTTCAGGGCCAGCATGTAGTCTTCGTCTTCACCGACTTTCAGTGGAACCGGTTTAAAGTCTGTGTTCTGTAGAATTTGAGATATTTTCTTATGATGAAAACATAACTAAGTACAGACATTTCAGAAAGTATTGCAACATGACTTTGTTGAGATGCGTCACAAAAACGGCAAAAAAGTGAAATGATCTTTTAGCTTTTGAGACAGCTTGATTTTCTTTTTATTGATTAGATTTAATTATGCTTAAACGTTTTACAAGGAAGTTGACATTTTCAAGTTTGCAGTTGGAAATATTAGCAAAAAGATCTCGAGGAATCCAAATTCCAAATGGGAAAATCGGGATTCTCACCATCAACCTAGGCCTTAAAATAAAACGGCAAAAGTTTGCATTTCCTGCACAAATGCAGTGTGAATGCTGTAAGCTGAATATTTTTAGTGAAAATTTCAGAAGCATTCGAAGACAACTGCGTAAATGTAAGAGACATCCAGAAGCAGCAGAATAAATCAAAAGCCTTCAAAAACGCAAAGGGAAAAACTGAAGAGTGAAAACTTTCAGTTAATGCAGAAATCACACCCAAAGAGTATTAGAAATTCATGCAGATCACCGTTTACAAAGCTAAACTGTAAGATTGCAGCAGTGTATAAGCTAAAACGAGCTAAAAAGCTAGAGCTAGCTAAAACACTAATGATGGCCTCTAGTTTAGGACTAGCACCTTGATCTACAGTAACATACTCCATGCAGTGTGGAAAAAAAACATGTAAAAGATAAAATTAGCTAAAAAGTTACAACAAGGTTGGAAGGAGGGTTGAATAGAATTTGTCAGAATGTCCAATTATTGATACATGTAAAAACATCTATTTAACTGTCAAATAAGTGAAAAATCAATTCTTTGTAGAGTCTAAAGCCCCAGGTTCATGCATAACAATCAATCTTTTGGGGAAAACATAGGGGCTGATTTAATTCAGTTTAGAAATACAGGCTTGAAAAATATCCAAGCTATGAGCAAAAAACTATATTTAAGCCAAATGCTAATATCCTTCTTTATATGGTTTTAACAGAACTATAAGCTCCATGTAAAATTTCCTTTGACTATCTCGAGTGTTTATAGACTGATGTAAACAGAGGATTACGTCCCAATCTCTGGAAATACAATTTTGGATGTTTAACAGTGAAATAAAAACTGATAGGTTATTCTGGGCGCCTGGTATGTCTCTGTAAGTGTGTGTGTGTGTGTGTGTGTGTGTGTGTGTGTGTGTGTGTGTGTGTGTGTGTGTGTTTGTTTCTTACTGGATACAGCGGGCTGGGCCCCACCCTGGCCTCTGGCATGCTGCCTCTGCCGATGCCCAGAGCTTCTATGTTGAAGGTAAAGGCACCCACCCCACGACCCTTGCCTGCCATGGCTACAGGTCTGTCCTGTACCTGCAACACGTCAATAGTCAACTTCCTCGAACACGTGTTCACACAACTCAGAATAATTTCATCATCAATGCAGCATTAGTCAGCACATAACGTAAAACATCAGATGACTTTGAATACTCACTTTGAGAGTATTAGAGAACTCCTTGAATGCAGAATTGCAAACTAGATGTCTGTTCCACGGATATAAAACGGCATTTAGCTGCTACTGAGTCTCCTCCACGTTTTCAGTCCTGGTCTGTCGTCAGCATTTAGCTTGTCTGAGTAGTCTCTCGTTCTAGTCAATTAGTCTGGTGAAAATAATATGAGAACCACCTCTTAGTGAGATTTATATTACTTTAACGTGTACCGGTGTGGCAACGTGTGCACTCTGTGCGAACTACAGACATATTATAAGGCACCGACGTGTCGGTCGTGAACGAGCCGTCTTAGTCTGCCAACTCGTTCAATTGAACGATGGGATCAGACTCCCGTTTTAGAGCGTCTGGACTTTTCCATTTATTTCCTGCCTGTGTACGTGTTGCACACTGAATGGGCCTCTAGTTTAAGGTAAGTCAAACCATAATAAGTCCAAATAAATAGAAAGTCTGCAGCTTTTCTGTGTTTTACACATACAGAGTTGGTATTAGACAATGAACTAGGGTTGATCTACAACCAACAACGTTTCTATATTTGACTTTAAAGCTCATTCCTGCTGTATTTTCAACTGGAAATTTTGGGGAAAAAAACAGATTAAAAAAATAAACAAAACAAAGGGAATACACTGTGCATCCTATAAAAGCAAAATTTTTCTTTTGAAAACAGTATTAGCCTTATTTTGCAAGTGTATTGTGATCATTTCCCATTAGCTTTCAGGGCAACTAGCAATGTGGGATCTACTTTTGCAATAATAAAACCTATAAGTGATCAGACCAATAGACTATTTGAAAGTATTTTTGAAACTGAAATCCATTCATTTCTATTGCTGGCTCTAACAATATAAACTCTGAAGTTTATATGATTGTTTTGTGGGCAAAAACAGAAAACATAAAAATTTGGGATACCTTTACATGTTAGAATTTAGCGAACATCCTAAAGAGCTTTGTGAGCAGGATCTTTAAAAGGTGTCGGAATTCCCATCACTATGACACCATGTGTAAATGTAGCTTTAACTTGTGTGACTCAATGGAAGGCGGGGTTTAACTACATCCAATGAGTATCCAGAGGAAGTAGAGCGTCATTCACACATCTGACCAATGAGCATGCGCTTTCTTTCAACGGGTGTGTCTGTAGCAACCATCACATTAGCCTAAATGACAACATATCACCGCCAGCTACGAGGCTGCTAACACCTCCCCTGACGGCACAATACCCGCTGAAGATAACCTGGACTACTGCATGACTGGGGATGTCTGCAGCCGACTGGTACGCCCACAAGTCGCTGGGAGACGGACTCTTCTGGATCCAGGAGCGATTCTACCAGTCGGAGAACCGAGCCAACATCTGGCTTCTCCGCGGCACCCACCAGGACGTGGTCATAGATACGGGTCTGGGCTTGAGGAGCTTACCTGAGTACATCGACGCCAACGGGCTGCTCGGGAAAGACCCGCAGAGGAAGAACCCGCTGCTGGCGATTGCCACCCACGCCCACTTCGACCACTCGGGGGGTCTGCATCAGTTCCAACAGGTGGGCGTCCACAGCGCGGAGGTCGATGCCCTGGCGAACGGGGACAACTTCGAGACGGTTACCTGGCTCAGCGACAGGGAGATAGCCGTGGCTCCCAGTCCGGGATGGAGGGCGAGACACTACAAAGTCAAGGCTGTGCAGCCCACACACATCCTGCAGGAGGGTGGGTAGGAGATGCTAAGCCTCGCGATGGGGGGTGCGGATCTGAGATCAGACACCTGGAATGATGCATGCAGGGAAAAGCATGGGGTTACCGGTATAAATAGCTGAAAAAGGCCTTCCTGAGTCACCGAAAAACTGGCAAAAGTCCAACATTGAATTGTTAAATTTATCCATATGCACACCTGCACTAAACCTGTACAGAGTACCTGTATAGTATATACAGTATAATGCAGTATACTACAGTATACCTGTCTGAGGAAACAGTGGGAAGGAGCATGATTACAAAGCTTTATCACAACCAGTGTCTGCATTAAAAACGAGTAAAAATATTATGGTAAACTGTAAAATGTCAATACCATTTTTCAAAATATGCCATCAGTTGGACAGGTCTGATTTATGAGCCTCCCAAGCAAACCTACAGAGATCAGTCTTTTTTTTTTGTTTGTTTTGTTTTTTTTTTGTTTGTTTCTAGCTGCTATCCCTTATCTACATATCTGTTCTATTTATAGCCAGAGTGTTGATCACTTTGATGGCTCTTCCAAGAATGGAAGCAGAGACTGGGCACACTTCCTGAATTCTGCTATGCAGGTTTGCTTTGTCGCAGCATTCACCAGCTTTAATTTACATTTGCACAAAGTAGGTATCCAACATCAGCAATTAGTGAGCAGAATAAATCCGTGTAAGGTTCTGCACTCAGGCATACTGTTGCAATATCACTGCCTTTGGAGGTCTTCCCTACAAGTAAATAGTCTCTTGAAGGTTACTTCAGTTACGTCTCATCGCTGCCATTCTTTCAGAGTATAGTTTCTGTACGGTCAGTAAATATTCAAAAATAATCCCTGCTGTGTCAGAGCCACTTGGTGCAGTGCAGTTGGTATATCTTATTGCATGGCATGCCAGCCTCACCCTTTGTCAAACTGTGTAAGTCATACCTGGTTTGGATGAAATCAATACCAAACGGAAGGCTTCAGACTCTGCACAAGATAAGAGCTCGAGGGGACATGAGGGTCAGGCAAGTTTTAATTTAATCTGAATATATAAGGCCTTACACAATATGTTCATACCACCTTGAACTCCTTAAACATTTCCAACCATTAACCCTCGTGTATTTTAGTGAGAATGCAGTGGTTTAGATCAGCATCCCGCTTCTCATGTGAACTTTCAGTTTCTTTATAATTTTGACCAAAATGAACAGAGACTTTAAAAATTATATTTAAATAGCATGCTTGTATGACTGTCCAATGATTTGTTTCACGTACACTGAAGCCCCATGTTGAACAAAACAGGGTTGGGCTGCCTATGTGTGTGTGTAAGTGTGCTCAACACTGCAAAAGACAATGTTAAAAAGACAGTTGGCCTGCATTTGTATAGTGGTCTATGAAGACGTTCTCCAAAAACCCAACAGAAAATTAACATTGCTTGAAAAAAGAAAACGGATAAGTGGATTTGCCAACATCCTCTTATGTTTTGATTTCTTATGTCTTTTCAGTAGCCTGCACAATTCTGTTTTATTCAGTAGAAAAAACTAATTTCATTAGCAATATGCCTTTTGTGGCTCTAGATAGATTTTAATTAGAAAAGAAAGGGGGTGAAAATGGCTCTTTGAATCAGGAATCTTGCATAATCCTGGTTTGGATCAATCCTGTTTGACTAGACAGGTTAAAGTCCAGACCGACTAAATCTAAAAGTAAGCCGGCAAAACGTTCTGTCTCTAGATGTTGAATTCAAGTGCTTGTTGCTTTTTTATTTTGGATTTTTTTTTATTTTTTATGTGCATATAAATTTGAAAATCGTGTATCATTTTTATTGTACTTCACAATCACGCATCCATCACATAAAACTCCAACGACACGCACTGAAATTTGTGTCTGTAATGTGACAAAGTTCAAGGGGCATCAATACGATTTGAGTTGTAAGCTGCTCCTACTGTAGAGTTATGCCTGTGCATCAATAACTAGAGCATCTTTCTCTCCTCCTCCTCCTCCTCCTCCTGTCTAGGCGATGTTATTAACCTTGGTGACAGACAGCTGACGGTGCTTCACATGCCGGGTCACTCTCGGGGCAGCATCTGCCTCCACGACCGCGACAATAAGCTGCTGTTCAGCGGAGACGTTGTGTACGACGGCGCCATGATTGACTGGCTGCCCTACAGCCAGGTCAGCGATTACGTCAGCAGCTGCGAGCGTCTCATTGGGCTGGTGGACAGCGAGCAGGTAACACGCCGCGTCTTGTTTTTGCGTTTACATGCCAGCAGATGCACATTTAAAGCTGCTTTGACACCGATTCAAATTGAATTACGCTAGTTAGTTCAGGAAGAAGATGCGTAATCCCTCCTAAAAGTGCTTTTAGTTTCACTCTATAAGTTGTTCCCAAAAGCTGAAAAACTGTTACATCCACCAGGTTGACCAAGTCCTCCCAGGACACTACAACACTTTCGGCGCGAAGCGGCTCCATCGACTCTCGTCCGCGTACATCAGCAGAGCCGGAACGTGCCCTGCGAAGTTCTCTACGCTTGTCTGGAGAACGCTGTCCGGTTGGGCTCTGCGGGCGTCCAACCCTCGCTGTGCCTGCTAATGCGAGTGGATGGCGAAGGCTCGTGGGAGGGGGGAAGCACAATCGCACACAGAAAGACGCTTCAACGTAGAAGGACCTAAAATGACGAAACGTGTAATTTAACAGAACTCATTTAATTGCCAAACTCTATATAAAATGTCTCACTTGAGTCAACAGCTTCCTATGAAGTATACAATATGAAGTATTAAAGGTGTTATTCTGTAATGTATTGATCAGTATGTGAATGTTGGTGTTGGTATGATTTTTAGGTGTGTTTTTTTTTTATATATATTTTAAGCAAATGTGAACTTATAATAGCACAACGATAGTACAGCTGTGCACTACAAACAGAAAACAGGGAGCTTTGGGTTTTTCTCTGTGACATTTCAGTCAGCATGGCCATAGCTTTCCTCTATGCAGTCTGCAGTGAAGACCCAGCAGTGACTACCTCCTATGTTTGTAATTGTGCTTTGTACTGTTGATTATTAATCTACGGCTTTGCTACGAAATCTCTGACAATAAAGTCTTTGCTCAGCCTGACTATATTAGTGGCCATCTCTGTTGGGATTTGAAGCGTTGGAGTGAAATGAAGCATTGGACCAAACAACTGTCTGATGAAGTACTGAGGGCAACATTTCTGTGAAAAGCTCCCGTAATGAGGATGACGCCGATGACTACGAAGGTTAGATTTGAATTTTAATGCCCACTGCACTGCAAAAATGTACTTCAGTGTTGACCTTTGCTTTCCGTTTTTTTTTTTTGACACATTACTACTTCAATCGTTAGCATATTTTATGATTTCCTGTGATTGATCAAAAGTTAAAGTTGTTATTATAGTCCACACCACTACACAGTACATTCTATAACCACCTTTTGCTTTAACTGCAGCCGTGAATCTTTTGGGCTTTGCCTCTTCCAGCTTTGCAGACGTAGAAAATACCAGTACCTTTTTTATTTTTTTTTTTCAAAGCCATTGAATCTTAAATTGGCTAGAGAGCATTTGTGAACATAAAAACTTCTACTGATTCCCAAATGAGGTTCATTTTAACACAAGTATGCCTTGACCTATACCACAGTATTGCATGGCTAATGTTGTGTGGAAAGGTCAGACCTACAGTCCATTTTTCATGTTCTAATTTTGTTATTGTAAAACGTCCAGATGCTTTTTGGCTAATTAGATTGATAGATTACACTTCATTTTACACTTTCCCGCTAAGTAATTATGGATGCATGAATAATTGGATGGTTAAACAGATAAATATGGTAGATGGATAGAACGGTGCATGACACTGTTGTTTCTTCAAACATATCCAGACATGGAAAGTATTTAAATCAAGCTTCATATTTTCCAGACTGTGTGGGAAGAGGAGAACCGCTGCTCCAAACCTCCAACTCTTTTGCAACCTCCAACATATTTTCAACCAAGATTCCCCGTTAATTTCCTTCATTTCCTTTTGACCGTCCCTGCCAACGGAAACCATTCCCACAGCAAGATGCTGCTACTACCATGCTTGTGCATTTCTGAATGACAAATACAGATGCGTAAAGCCGGGGTAGTTTTAAAACTATAAACATTTATTTTAATTAACGTTATATTATTTAAATGTGACATTTCTCATTTTGTACTCAACCTTTTACAGATGCTGCATACGCGGGACACACAAAACCTGCAAAAGAGGGAGAGTCTTAACAGTGTTAATCGTTATTAACAAAGATTTGCACATTATCTGTTAAGCTTCTGATCATCACACATCTGTACAGTTGCATTTATAAAATCAGCTATGTAACAAAATGACAGAGCGAGGTTTATCTGTTAACTTACAAAATAATTTACAGTAACAAATGCTTGTTCGGCGTATCTCAGTAAATATGAGCCCACAATGATTGACAGACGTGGAGAAAAAAAAAAAAAAAAAAAAAAAAAAAAAGGGATTCACCGACAGTCATAAACTCCCATTTGAAATTTGGTTTATTCAAAAAATGTAAAAACAAAAAGAAATGGTGAGAACAATTGCAGTTAAGAAAAATATAGGGGTGGAAATGTGACGCGACGTCTGCACTTACAATCCCATACCTGGTATGTAGAAGAAAAAGTTTCCAAAACGGAGCCGACATCTAAAGATTTTCCTGTTTGATATTAATGGAGTCGTGGCTTATTTTGGATGTTCCCCTTAGACTCGCAGGCGGAAAACGCCACACTGAAACCAGGCAATACACTGCCAGGGTGCCGGTGCAGCATGACACTGAGTTTGGATTGGGGTTTTCTATTAATGCCTTACTTCGACTACAACCACTTGGTTCTGACGTCAGCCCTCCAGTGATGTGCAGATAAAGGTGAAACCCAAAGCAAAGAGTTATTTTTTTTCAATTCTGAAAATGTCAGTCAGAACCAGTACAGTAAATATAAACACCTGCATTTAACTTCCCCCAAATTCACCGTTAGTATGATCACAGGTAGTTCGACGTCTAACCAATAGAACAAAATGCTGCATAGTTGTTTTAAAAGACTCTTCTGGCGTGTGAATAAGTGAGTACACTGAAGCAGGAGTCACAGAACAGGCAACAAACGTTAACCTCCCATCAACCTAAAAGAGCAGAATCGCTGCGGAGCAAAACTGCACAAACGGGGTATGTCGTTTAAAATCCCACGCCTTGTAGTCCCTGAATAACAAACTGTAGCTCCTACTGTACTTCTAAGGTCATTGCCCTGCTGAGAGGTAAGGCAAACCTCCACTCGAGTCTTTTTGCAGCCGGTTGTCCCTGCTAAAGAAAAATCTTCCCACACCATGATGCTGCCACCACCCGTGTTTTACCATGTGTATCTGTTAATAAAATCATAAATATGTAAATCTTTCCTGTGAAGTGCTCTTTTGCTCCAAGTCACAGACCCCCCTGCAGCAGAAACACTTCACATTTTATAACATAATAAATTACATTCAGATAAAGTATGACTGGGACAACAAGAGAGATTTTTACCTTAAAATGATGTTTCAGTGGATGGTAAGGATGGAAAAGGGGGGGGGGGGGGAAAAAAAATATTTTCCAGTTTCAAGATCACATTAAGAGTTTGAACAGTGTGCAGCGTATCTAAGCAATTCTTTAGCTTTTTGTTTACTCTCTCCAAAGCAGCATCATCAATGTAATTTCTGAAAGCAAACACATTGTCTCCCATCCTATAAACTGTGGGAACCCAGCAGCTCCTGCAGTGATTGTCACCATCTTCTGGGTTAAAACAACAACAAAAAAAAAACAACTAATTTTCCAGTTTGACCCACGCAGGTCTTCTCTAAGCAACCATTTCCTGTCAAAGGCAGCTGCACACATCCTTGAGTTTAGTTCACATAATAAGCCTGTTAATGTGTATGCTTAAACAAACGAGCAAAAAAAAAAAAAAGTCCATTAGGGAGTAAGTTTACACCTGACTCTGCAGCCAGTTACGCGGATCGAGCCTGGCCCGTAGGTTTCTCAGGCTGCGTCGAGCCGGCGAGGGCCTGGAGAACGGACCGCCCTCCGACGACTCGGGGCTGTGGCTGCCCTCGCTGTTGCTGGAGCTGCTGCTGGAGGTGGAGCTGGAGCAGGACAGAGTGGTCTGCGTGCTGCGCTGTGACAGAGGCGAGTGGGAGGAGGCGGGGTGAGGCGCGAGAAGAGACGAGGAAGGAGGCTGGCAGGAGCACTGGAAGGCCCCTCCGCCACCGTACCCTCGGCCCCGGAGGGTGCTGAGCTTAGCGTCCAGAGAGAGAGTGCGCGGCCTCAGGCGGGAGGGCGAGGAGGACAAAAGCGAGAAGCTCGACGACGGCTCGGGCCAGCCATGGCGGTGGGAGCACGGGCTGGTGCTGCAGTGGCTGTCGCTGTCCGACGTCAGGCTCGCGTCAGAGGAGAGCAGACCCGGCTGCGGGCAGCGGTGCGGGCTCACGGGGCTCCGAGAGGGAAGGCGGTGAGGAGAGTGAGGGCTGTGGCCAGACAGGCGGGAGGTACACGGACGGACAGGGAAGCCGGTGCTTTTCGGACTGTTCTCCTCAAACACAGACATCCAGGTGGGAGACGTGCCCAGCTGGCTGCGGAGCTCCAGCTCTTGCATTCTCCGGGCCAGGATGTCGGACACAGTGCTGCTGAGGTCATCGGATGACTCAATAACTGCAGAACAAAAGCAGCAAAATTAACCAAGACGCTGGGAAGTAGATTGGTCAGGTTCTTCAACACAGCAACCGCAAACGTCAAACGTATTTATTGGAATTTTATATGGATGGTTAACACAAAGCAGCACATAACTGTGTTGTGGAAGATTGTATTCTGAGATTAAAGTTAAAATGCTGAGTTTAATGAGGTGTGTCCATTCTTCTTTCCAAAACAGTTTAAGCTCAGTCAGATAGGATGGAAAGATACATTTAGATCTGAACTTTGACTGGTCCATTCCAGCATGTGAATGTGCTGTAATCTAATTAATCCTAATCCAGCTGTCTGTATGTTTATGGTTGTATTTAGCTGCATCAATCATATCAGCAACTCTACACACTGTTAATGGGAGGACGCCCTACAGCATGATGCTGTCGCCACCATGTTACACTGAGATTAAATCAGGAAGATGCTTTTAAGGCGATGTGCAGAGTCTCACCCTGCACTGCAATTATCTGGATGCTGGCTGAACACAAACGTTGAAAAACACAAATTCATAGAAAATATATGTCAGGATACTGGACTGTAGCCCAGGCATCTACAGCTCAATATTCAATTGTCCACTTCAAATGCCTTTTTCATATTAATAAACTTTGAAAGTCTTAATAAAACAGCTGCACATACATTTGAATTACATTCAGATCGACTCCATTTAGTAATTGGTGAAATTATAGATTTCCATTTTTCAAAATAAATGTGAAGACATTTTTTTCTTCCATCTTGCAATTTATTTGCAATTCACCAAAAATCCCAGTGAAATACATTGACATTTTTGATTGTTATTTGACAAATATTTTGCAAAGTACTGCAGATCAATATATCAACACAATTAGCCACTTGAATGGAAATTCCATGACAATGTAAGGTCATTGTTAATTTATGTTACGTAAATTTTAGTCTGAGACTTTTTTTAAAAACTGTTTGGATGAAGAAGTTAAAAAAAAAAATTGACTGTAAGAAACCCAGTCAAAGTTTTTGTTGTTTTTACAAAACAAAAGCTTTTTTTGGATTTTATTTCAAATTATGCAAAGCCACAGAAAATAAAAAAATAAAAAAATCTAATTAGTTTCTTACACTGCATTCAAATCTTTCTATCAGGGTGTATAAAAACACTGCTTTTAAAAATTTTGTTCTGTTTTTGTTTTGCATCATCATTGCTTTGAGTGAAGCTGACCCTTATTGGACCCTCACCGGTATTACTCTGGTTCTGATTAGCTAAATGCCACAAGAGACACTGAAGGAAACAAATTACAAATATGTTATGACTCCCTTCAAATTCCAGAGTTAGTCTCGCTGGCTCCTTATATGAACATTTAGAAAAGTGTTGCAAAAAACCTATCTACACATACTAAAAATCCTCTAAAATTGCAATTATTTTTATTTATAAGTCGAAAAAAATAAACTCCTTGTTGGAATTCTAGGGTTTAAAATCTTTAGTGTCTGTACAATAATGCTGAGCTTTGTATAAAATCACACATTTTATATTCTTCCCCCCCCCCCCCATTATCCCATCTACTAAGAAACTTAGTAAATAAATAAATCTTAAATAGCAAATAACTCAAAAAAAAAATGTGACTCAGGTAAACTGGAGAAATAAAATTGTCAAAGTGACCGAATGTGAATCTTTGATGTTCCAAAAGCTTCAGCTTCAGGTAACAGACATCCGATCGGTCAGAGCGCATGTTAACGCCAGATCTGAACGGAGCCTCATCGCATCCTTTTGAAGACGGCAACACAGTTTATGCAAAAACCCTGCAGCTGCTACTTCACCTGTCATTGTAATAGGACGAGAGCAGAGCACGAATCTCAGCAGACACAGCGTTATCCTGCAGCAGAAGACCCTCACAGGAGGGCGCTGAAAGAGGGGCTGCCAGGAAGGGGTTAAGAAAACCGTGAGCAGGGATGGTAAGACAGGAAGAGTGGAGAGGACAGGAGGTGAGTAAGAGAGAGAATACAGGGTCAAAGTGTGTGGATGGTTATGGTAAAAAAAATGTTTAAAGAACGGCCATTTATGTTTAAAGGTCAAGGAAGAAAAGAATGTAGAAAAAAAATTTATGAATCAAGGATGATGTTTGAAATTGAAATTTGCAATAGAAGTGGATGAAAAATGGATAGAATATAAAAATATATATATATAAATACGGAAGAACAGAACGGTATAAACCAGAGGATGACAGAACGCAGGGAAGAAAGTGAAAGAGGAAACAAAAAGAAGACAGAGTGAGTCAGCACATCAGAGATAAGACCTCCTCGATCTACAGAACAGAGACGTAAAAGCAGAGTTAGAGCTACTGCAGAGGGAAAATCTAATCATGGCAGTGTGTTTCATGCACATCCACCCAGTAATTTAAGAACACACACAGTCACATGCAGTGCAGGCGCAGCGAGCGTTCTCTCTATTCTGTCTTTCTGATATAAATTAAAACAAACTAAAACGGGCCCATTAGGCGACATCTCCAGGGCGGGTAAAGACTTACCCATTTCATGGTAAAGCGAGCCCTGCTTCGGTGTGACAGGAGCTGGCTTTCTTGGAGAGGGAAGTTCAATTTTCATTAAATCGTCGCAGCACTGCTTCCACTGACCTGTTTAGGGAGAAACAAAGACGTTAAAATACTCCTCTCTTACTGCTTCTTTGACTCTCCTCAGGCGGTTCTGTAAAGGTAAAACGTTCTCTTACTCATGTCGTAGAAATGCTGCCAGAAGGCCTCCATCCAGCTGTGCGTGTCCTCCCGGCTCTCCGTGTTCAGGGTGTGCGTGACCTCCTCCCCTCCGTATCGGTTGCTGATGCTGATGTTCTGACCCTTACCGTGGGGGTCCTTCTCTGACGCGCGTATCCTGGTCTCCTGGAACAAAAACGGCACTTGAAAAGGTCTGCCGCAAAGTGCCCGCAGACGGGGAAGTTGGACAGCAGCGCTTCTGTTCTGATTAATCCAAATTACTTGTCGCAGCAGCTGTTCATTATAACGGCTGTAAATGGAAGTCCCCCATTGAAATTAAGCCCTCATTAATAAAGATAGCAATTAGTCCCATCAGCAATTATCCAACAAAAAGAGCAAACTCCCAATTCCCACATCCTCCGTCTGTCTGGTCCCCCCAGTTGTGCCCGTGACCACTAGATGGCAGTGTTGTGCCGTTTATCTTTTCGCCGCGCTTTGATTCCTTCTCTGCAGGAGAGCCAGAGGTTTGCTCAGACGTGGGCTGACCTTGCTTTGGGGTAGTTGTGTGCTGAGATTCAGACAGAAAAAGGGAAAAAAGCCTGAGATGACTGAGTCGCTGACACTTTGATCTTGGAAGGGTACTGAATCATAAATTGAATCATAAATTACATGATTCCCCATATTTGATGGAGATGGACATTTTTTTTCTTCAAGGGATTCCAAAGAGAGAAACGCAATAAACAGATGTAATTAGGGATGTTAAGCCTGCTTAATTAGTAAAGCTCTGTTTTCAGGCACCCTTAAAGGCATTCAGCGTTTCTGAGTGAGGCTCTGTTAAATTAATATGTAGATTAAGTAGGGATACGTCTTGTATTCTTGCACAATGATTACTTATTTACACGTGTTGGTGAATATTGTAGCGATTTATAGATTACCACAAGAATAACAAATAGATATTAACTGGGTTGTTTTATTTTTCAGTTTTGCTATCTCAATCTGCTGCTTAACAGACACTGTAGCTTGCCAAGCAAAGTTTTTAAAACAGAATTGCCTTAATAAGAGTGGATCGTTTGTGCTCCTTTGGTTTTCACACCGTGATTCTCTTGTGTTCATTGCAACCAGGGATATTTCAGAATAGCCAAACGTTTATGTCTCGCAAGCCTCCCATCTCTGGGATTACCTGTTAGCTTCAGGACCAACTAATCAGGATTTTTTTTATTAAGTGAAAAGACAACTATAGTTGATATTTATTTACAACATTCTAAATCCTTCTAAGCTCAGTGTCTGAGCTGCTGCAGCTCAGACTCTGAGAAACAGTCAGCGTTGACCGCTTGACAGCTCAGCTGGGGCAGATAAGGGCTTCTTGCTCGAGGGAACACCAGTTACCAAGTAAACAGCTACCTTCTTATTTATATTTAAGTACCAGGCTCTCCCGGTTGGGTTGGGATGTACTTGACAGGAGTCCAAAAACTTTACCGTCAATTCTGCTTGCGCCTTAGGTGTTGTGAAATAATAAAAAAGAATAAAATAAATCCAGCTGTGGGTTCTGTGAGGTTGAATGTTGAACCTGTTATGTTCCCTCTTTTTAGATGTTCGTCACAAGCTCCTAAGCTGCTCATTAGCTCACCGTGTTGATGCCGATGGTCAGAGCAGGCTCGACATTGGCGTCCACATCCTCCTGTCGCTTGTAGCAGGACAGGCTTGTTGCTTTCAGAACGGCGTAGACTTTTGTCCATGTCTTAGGATCACCTCCACACTGCTGCAAACACGAAGAGGGGCGGCGAGTTGAGCCAGAGACGAAGGGAGAAAAACGAGGGAAAGCAAACAGAACCCGCTAAAGACGAGCTCAAACCAGTGTGCAAACACAAACTGGCCCAACTTGCCTTAACTTTCAACCATCCAGCCATCATCTGCCGGGTCATGCAGTGCGGCTGAGCTGCGAGGCGGCAACACATGCTGCCGTAGAGAGGCAGCCAGTAGGAGCATTCCTCTGGAGGACAAGAGCATAAAGAATCAAAGTTAATCGCAATATTTTTCGACACTGCTTTTCAAGCTTTGCATGCAAACAACTCAAATTATTTGCATGCGCATAAAGAGACGCTCTCCAAAGGCCCCACCCATGCATTAGCGCACAGAGAGAAGCACTTGGGATTAAAAGACAGGCAGCTGCTGAGGCTGCACATGAAATGCAGCTATGAAACTTTACAACGCGCTGAGGGGACCAATGAATAAAATACAAGAGCCAACGTCTGTCTCTGGGTCTGGGCCCTTGTTAGGCTCCATCATTGCAGTTTTACACAGCAGTAACCCCCGCCCCGCCCCTTTCCCCACTTGCTGAACTTTTATTTACGGCGACCTTGTTGATGGCCACATGTCAGAAATCAACGCGGAGAAGCAGGTGGAGGAGGCACGCGGCGGTTTACGGAAAATGACGAGAGCATGAGCAGGAGACGGGAGACGCAGACGAGTGGCAGCAGGACAAAGAGCAGACAGATGGCCGATCTGGCGGCGGGAGGGAGCAGAGAGCTGGCGAGGGCGCAGATTGATGGAGGCTGCCACTCACCGTTGCCTGAAATAGTGAGGTCATGCGTGCGAAAGCTGTCCTGGACGTGAGACAGCCACAGGGTGGTGTGAGCTAAGAGATGGTACTTCGGGCCCCTGTCGACAACCAACAACAGACGGACAAAACAGCATTTTTATATTATGTCGTACGAAACAATGAGAGAAAAACATGCAAGAAGCGAAACCCGAACTCACGGCACAGAGGGAACCGGCAGCAGGAGAGGGGCCGCCCCTCCGTTACTAACGGGACTGCAAGCTCCGGGCTCCATCGCCGCTCTGAGCTTCTTTCCCGCTGATCGGCCCAGAGAGGAGCTCAACTTGCTGGCCAGTTTTCTGGGAGTGCTTCCTGCAGAGTAGTCGTCCTCTGAGCAGCAGCTATACAGCTCAACTCGGAGCTCAAAGCCAGGGCTGGCCTCACTGCTGCACAAGGACACAACCGTATAGTCTGTCACGTGTACTGTGTGAAAATGAACACAGTTTCTAGCAATGCAAGTGCAGTGTACAGTGTGTTTCTGAATGCTTCATGTCCCTTAAATTTATTCGCATTTTGTGACAATTTAACCACAGCATTACCCAATCTAAAGTAGTTTTGTGTATCAGACCAACACAAGACTGCTATATATATATATATATATATATATATATATATATATATATATATATATATATATATATATATATATATATATATATATATATATATATATATAGGGCAATATATTTGCCCTACATATACTTGTGACAAAATATTGTGTTTTTGCACAAATATTGCAAATATTTTGCAACAAAATACTCCTACATATTTTTTGCTTCAATCGCAGCTGCAAGTCTTTCAAGATGAATGTCTGTTTTAAGTGCTGCCTGTTCTTTCCAAAATACTGCGTTTCTTGAATTCTACATTTTGCAAAAATTTGTACATGCTGAACGCTCGAGCCACGGACTGATACACTGATAGAGTGTCGTAAACACAGAACGGACAGATAGCTTACAAGACGATGGTGTTGTCAAAGCAGATATCTGTGAGCGTCCGGTCCACTATCACCATGTCCGTGTCGAATATCTCTCCTCCGAGCTGCAGCAGGCAGAACACGGCACATCGATGGAGCTCTGCGCGACGGGGCAGAGGAGAGGGAGAAATGTGAGAAACCATCTTCGCACGTTCACAAAGCTTCAACTCATTTGCATCTTTTCACTCGACTCACTCCAGCTTCAACCTCTCCCTTCACGTTTTCGCGAGAGAAAGAATCGGAGGAAAGCGTTGATGCTGGACGTTTTGCTGTAGACGGGGCACTTAACCTGAACAGGCGAAGCGTGACAGAGAACTCGACGCTGCTGGAGGTCTAACAAACTCCTCTGTTGTTAGTCTCAGTTCAGCAATCGTGCCTGCCAATAGGTAAACCGGACCACTAACAGGCACATTGTTGAACGTAAAGCAGCACACTTTTACTGTCACTGCGGCTAACAGCCACTCTAGACGTCTATAGTGTCATATTGAGACGCCTTCAACCTTTTCATGTTTTCTTACTTTCTCTCCACAAACTTCATTGTATTTTCTTCCGATTTTTTTTTTTTTTTGTGTGAAGGACCAACACAAAGTAGTGCATGATTGCAAAGTAGAAAGAAAACGACAATCACTTTCAGAATGTTGTGCTCATAAAAATCCAAAAGTATTGCTTCATGAAACCTTCGCAATATCCAGGAGCTGATGTCTTTCCCCATACGTTTTTGCAAAATAATAATAAAAAAATAAAAAAATAAATAAAAAATTGAAGCTTGATCAGAATGGACGATCGATTTTGAAATTGGCTGTATTGGGTTGCTGCCCTGCTGGAGAGACTCAAGTCTTTTGCAGCCTCAAATAGGTTTTCTGCGGACAATTGGTTTCACGTCGTTTTAGTTTGGGGGATCAGAGTGAATGGGCGTGAATGCAATAGGATCCGCCATTTTCAGATTTTTACCAGTTAAGCTCCTATGAATAAAAATGTAATATGCTGAGAACACTCTTTCCTTAACTCGTTTCATTTGCATGCGAAGGTCATTCACATTAATTCCATATAAGCTGTCAGGGGAATAACTGAGCACTAAAAAATATTATAATGACTGCACAGGAGTTAACCCAAATTAGCTTTATCCAGTTGGTGAGATGGAAAATAGGCAATTTAAGCATAACAGTCATTAGATTTTATGTGTGTCAGTGAATTTTAAATGAAACAAAAATGCAACTGATCCACAACAGCTTCCTTCCACCGCAGCATTGTCAGCCGTGCTAATACAGACTCTGTTCAGTCGGTGCACGTCCAGACTTCTCAGAGCCAAAAGTCAAAGCCAGCATGTCTGAACTGTTGGCTCACTGAGATCTTTGCGAAAGCTGCAAAAGATTGTAAAAGATCAACTCCAGGAACTAACACAGACAAAAAAAAAAAAAGAAAGAAAGAAAATTCCAGTCTTCATGGTCTGTCTGTACTCCTTGGTGAAAATCCTGGGTTAAATCTTAAGTTGGCATCCAAGGTTTCTCCAGAGAGGGAGGGGGAAAAAAAGTTTGAATTGTTCTCGAGTCACAAGAAACAGCATACAAAATCCAGCAACCGATAACTCCTCTCCAACATGCATCTTTAATAAATCCTACAGACGTAAATCTTTCACAGGCCAACTGACAAAAATTCCTCCAAACACACACACACACACACACACACACACAGAAGGTGACTCCTCACCTCCTTTGTTCTTGAAGTACTCCGTGTCTTTCCACATAAGAGGGATCCGAAGATCTGGCATAGCAACAGACAGCGGATTAGACCACAAAAATGTTAATCACCTCTCCTGTCCAGCTGATAAGTGTGTGTGTGTGTGTGTGTGTGTGTGTGTGTGTGTGCGTGCATGCGTGTGTGTGTTTCTGTCCACGTGTCTATGCAGTTTTCAGTCACTGTCAGAGCTTCAACAGACAATAGATTTGCAGTTTGCTCTACAGCTGCAGAGCAGATGTACACAAGCTACAAAAAACGCAGATGCTGCTAATTTACCATTTTATCAACGTTCACTTTTTCCACTACTGTGGAGGTGCAAAATCAAATAAAATTTTACTTTCATTTTTTTATTTTTTTATTTTTTTACATGCCTGAGATTGCCACTTTTCCTTTACAGGGAAGTCTATCGTCCATTGGGCTGGCATCCGAGGACCTGCGTGGGACATTCTGCATGACCTGAGCTTCCTTCATCCTCTGCAGCTCCGACATGTAGGCCATGATGCGGGTGCTGCACGTCTGCAGGCTCTTTGCAGCCTCCAATGCCTGGTCTCGCTGTGAGCAAGCAGCCAGCAACTTGCAGGCTCCATCTCGCATCCGGATCTCATGGTCAATCTTCTTCTGAATGTCGCTGTCCTGCAAAGACAACCGGGGAGGTGGAAAGGGGGAAAACATTGTGAGAATAAGAGAACTTATTTAGAAATATGGCAAGTTTTTTTTCCTTACACTCAACTTTCTCCTTCAACCCTTAAGTAGACAGCAGCTTCTTCATCAATGACCTGTTGTAGCTCTCTCTCCTTGAGGAGAATGTTTACGAACTTCTGCTGGAAAACTATCAAATCGACAGTCTTTCCCATAATTGTGTTGGTCATGCTGAAACATTTACTTGATTAAAGTACATTTATTGATTGTCAGTACTATTCTGAATTCCTGAACCTGAACTGTAGGTTTCCATGAACTATAAGCCACCATAAATAGCACTGACCAGGAATAAACACTTGAAATTCATTCGTGCACACTGAATAACGTGAATTTTACATACAAACCCAGTCAGCAGCATATAAATCTTCAAATGATTTGATTTGACTCTGGTGACGGGATTTGAACGGCCCCATAAGCCCCCCAGTTCTCTCTGTCAGCAGCAATATGGACACATGAACTTGAACTTAAGCTTAAGACAGGGAGACGCATGAAGTCAGCGAGAAGCAAAGAAGAAAGTCGAGAGAGGAGGGCCGGAGATCAAACAAAGGCAGAGCAGAAGAAATTATTTTATGCCCTTGAATAATTTTTATCAATGTGGTTTTTTTTTTTGTTCTTTTTTAAAACGAAAACCTGATTTTATTTCACTCTGAGAACTACTGAATACTGAAGTGGCTTTTGACCGACGGAGCATGTGTGTGTGTCCTCTCCAGTGACGCGTTAACAAGTGCACACTCTACATGCTAATAAATCTTCTCTGGTGTAAAATCACACACGCTTCCTATCCTCCTCCTCCTCACCCACATTTCCCATTTATCATCCCCTTCTCCCTCTGACTAATTCATATGAATTTTTTAATTCATTTCAGTTAAATATTAAATGTTCGCTGCCCGTTTCCTACAGCCTCGACTCAAATCTGTTCCTCTTCACCGTCCTCAGTTAGCTTTTCTCATCTCCATCCATCTTGCCCTGAGCCGAGACCCAGCAGGAGAATCATGGAGACTGCTCATTATTAGGGCCCAAATTTGGGTGCTTGGATGTCTCTCTATACAAAAATGATGTTTTATGAAAATGTGGAAGGGGAGTTAGTTTTCTGGGTGTGGGGGTCGAGTGCTCCTTGAGATGTGACTAAAATGTTTCTGTGTAGTGGGGAACGCTTTAGTAGCAGCTGTAAATCCCATGTGAGTCAAATCTTGACGTTTGCCAGCTAAACCAGCCCAAATGAATTAAGTGTTTTGAAATACTGCAATATATGCATAACAGCAACACTAATAGGATATTATATTTAAGGAACAGACAAAAGTTTTATTGTGAAAACTAAAAAGTTTGCCTCCACACTTCATATGCATAGTATAATTAAGAAAATTAGCATGACTGTAAGGGTGTTAAACAAAAGTAATGAAAATGTGGGCTTAATGAAAAGTCTGTTTTATACCAGCTTAAATGTTATTTTCAAAAGGTATTTTTAATCCGACAAACAGGCCTCATCTGAGTGTATATTCTGATTTATTGATTTTCACTGTAAAAATTAACAGTAAGCATGAGTTGGCATTAACTACTGAGATGCTGAGCCGGGGTTAATATGGTTAAAATGATCAAAAGCCCACCAAACAAGTGATGATGAATCTTTCTTTTCATTCATCCAGTGTATTGATGAATATTTGTTCTTTTTAAAATTGAGGCACTAAATTGGAATGTAACCAAGTCAAAAGTAAACTTTATTGAAACTGAAAACAAAAACAAAGAAAAAAACCCCATCTGTCTCTGCTCTTGGTACGCTTGTTTATTTTGGTTAATTGCATCTAAAGCAAAAAGTGCAACATTGTTTGGCATAGCCACACTGTTTCTTATCTTGCTATAAGCTGCTGTTCTGAAAAATGTGTTAAACGGGTCAACATGTGATAACATTAAAGATTTTGTGAAACATCAAATCTCGTCATTTCTTTTGTGCATTTGTGTTGCTCCCGCCCTCCCTCCTCTGTTCTGAATAGTTTGTGATAAATGGTGTGAAATTTACAGGTTTCAGCTGTGTCCTGATTGGGTTTGTTACTTTACTGGGAAGTTCCTGTCTCTTTTTAAGTTTTCGTATTGAAGTGTTAGCTTACTGTCTGGGAATAAAGTTTCATGCCTCTATGAGTTTCCCAAAGTGGTCACAACTAATTTAATCAGAAATTAACAGCGTCCCAAATCTACCTTTGAGTTTCAAGCATCCAGCATCCTGAGGCACGTGAAACATCTGGACGGCTTCAAACGAAATGATGCTAACATTGCTGATAGCCTAGCTTTAGCCCACTTCAAACTGCTCAGCAGCAAAACATCATCAATAGGAGCAAGAAATAAGTTTATTAAAAACTGTAACTGTATTTAAAATATATGTTTACAAACAAAACGGAGGGATTCTGCAGCATTTGGAGTTCCACTGGTGATTGAGTTAAGGAGGACATAATCACAGTATTTTTATAGGCCTTGTAATACCAATGCAATGTAATGTTTTATTTAATAGTACAATATAACTTTCCAGTCTTCAAGCTACATGTCATTGATTTTTGTTAATGCAGTATTGTACATTAACTCAATATGAGTAAATGCCTGTACATAAATGACTTGGATCATAACTGGGGATCAATAATCACGATCGGGATATCCCTTCCTGTAATTCATGTAAAAAAAAAAAAAAAAAACGAAAAAAACCCCAGCTAGATCAGACATAGAGAGCATGGAAAACCGTGAAATGTTCAAATGTCTTTGCTCGGCTCTCGTACCTTAAACTAAACTAAATGCATCACTGAAACTAGGCCTGACAAGGGACTAATGAAGAATGCCCACATGTGTATGTGCATACACGCCTTGTAAAGAAGCTGTCATCAGAGTCCCATCGTGCACAGCGGGCCTTAGAGTGACCTGCTGGGAAGACGGTTTGTATTTTTAGCAGCTAAATTAACAGGCTTCTCCTTCTGGGCATCTCAGAATAGAGACGTAGCAGCCTAAATCTGCCTATAATCCACACATCCCCCCTGTTTGTAGGGTTAAGATGCTAAAACAAACTGACACATTGAAGCAAGCAGCAAATGTGACCTTTTACATGCTCACAGGCCTAGGTGAACACTGGCACTCGCACACACACTTTCCCAGTATGAGATCGGAGTGGCAGGTGTTAGACCAGCGGACGTGGCCAAATAGAGGCTGACTGCCTGCAATGTTAGCAGAGAAGACAGCAGAAAGATCGGAGGGTGGGATATCAGGCAGTGACATTAAGGGGATGTGATGTCAGAGAAAACAAGCGGGAGATAAGAGGATGGGGAGCAGAGTGGAGGGAGAGACTAGGAAGATAGAAAGAGAGTTCTGGGTTTAGAAAGAGAGAGGAAGGAAAGGTGGGGAAATCAAAACGGTATGTGTGGAGGAAAAAATGGAAATCCAGAAAAGCCAAAAATAATTAGATTTTCTGAATCTTAAATACACGAGCTCACGCAGTGGTGCTCTTTGGGATTTTAGGGTCAAAAAAGCAGATATCAACCTTCTCTTTTAAAAATATAACCATCTAGCGGGAAATTTAATGCAACAGTAGATACCAGATGGTCATGCCTCTGCCGCCTCTCTGTCCCTGTTTGGCTCGGCTGATCCTCGCATGTCACTGGGGGAGGAAATCAGAGATACTACGACGACACAAACAGCCACACAAACAACACCCTTCGGGGCAATTGACGCCACTGCAGATGGTGTTTAATGGTTTGTTTACATTGTGTTGTTCTGCATGGATAGGCTTTCCTGTTCAGATCAGCAACCCTTGACCTCTGACTGCTATCGGTAAGCAGGTCAGACGCCTGCGGACGCACCATGATATCAGCCCTCCAGCTGAGATTTGACACGCAAATGATTCGTAAAAACACGTTAACTCAAAGAGAATGAGAAAAGGAGCAGGAGGAGGTACAAAACGCAATAATTTGTGTATAGAAATGGAAAGTGCACTTCAGACATTTTCAGGAGAGTGAAATTTATATTTTACTGCATGCCTGAAAAGTCAGCCCATATATTCAGTTTTACTGTCTTAAAAAATGGAAAATTGAGAGAGAAAAATAAAGATTGAGATTTACAGTATACAAATACATTAGAAAGAATCATTCATTTATTTTTTTTTTATTTTTTTTTTTGCATAGGACCACCTTATATTTAAACAAATGCAAAAATACTTTGGGTGAGAAAATAGCAACACAAAAGGAGGGTTCAAATTTGTAGGCACTTCTGCCTCACGAGATCAAACCCTCTGATCCAAACGTGACCAGGAACTTTCTGCATGTAGTTGGTGCGTTCTCTCCTTGAACGGGTTCCTTCTGGATACTCCAGCTTCCTCTGACAGACCAAAAATTATGCATGATAGGTTATTTGGTAACTCTAAGATCATCTCATCTCCTCAGCTGCATATATTGTTACACCTCTGGCCCTCAGAGTATGTGAGGTATATTATTTATAGACACTACTGCAGTAAGTAGTTGTTGTATGAAGTCCAACCAAGCAAAATGTTTCCTCTTACCATGCTGGAGAATAAAGAAAATAACTTATTCTCCAGCCACTACACAGTCATGTTACTAACAGGGGTCACACTGCAGCAGATTTTCTGGTCAAATTACAAAAATGTGAACAGACAGGCACATAGTGAAAGGTACTTCAATAGTCATACAAATTTTAAACCAATTTTTCAAACAACTCTAAAAAAAAAAAAAGCTATTTGACTGCACAAAATATTTCTGGCACTTATTTCACTGCCAGAAATAAGTTAGATTAGCATCAACGTCAGCTGTCAAACTATTGCATTTCTACACAAACAAAAGGAATGACTTGAAAATTCCTGACCACTCCCAAACACGGGGACTTTACTGACCGAACTGCTGGCTTTCAATTAGCCAGCCACAACTATGTGCCTCGCCTCTCTCCACCCTCTT